ATTAAACTTATTGTATAGTAATTTTGTCAAGGTTTTCATTGAAGAATTTTAAGGCATAAATTCGTTTATTTTATAAATTTTTATTTAGGTACCGATATTACTAAATTCTAGTTAATTGTATAAAATGTATCGAACAGATGTAATACTTTTTTGTCAAAATTTCAATTCTTCCTATATAAATTTATTAAAATGTCATACATTTAAATCGCGATATATACTCTGTATTAATTTAAATCAAGAACATAAATGTACCAGTCAGGGGTTAAAAGTTATTTATTTCACACTAACGATGATTATCATATTGCAACAAAAATTCCCCAATCAATTTTGTAAACTTTAGGTATAGCTTTACTTCGTTAACTTTTAATTATATTACCTACCGCTAAAGTCTAAATTATTGAAACATGTTTTACTTTAAAAAATTTCAAATTCAATTTTGTCAATACTGGCTAATTTTATTTTCTAAATACTTATAAATACCGCGACGTTTCGACCGTCTATTTCGGTCATCAATTAAAAAATAAAATGAGTGGGTTTTGGCAAAATTCCGATAAAGTTCAGTTAACTTCACTTTAATTGGTACAGATATCTATAAAGTGGCAAACTAACACAAAAATGCCAATGTTACTGTTATAAGCATAGGATATGAGTAAAAAAGCTCACCTCGTCTTTTCCCTTCATGACACACATATTCACATCTGCCTCATTTGAAAACCAAACCAAACGTTGGCGTTCACTCAAGTCGGAAAGACTGACGTTGTATACCAGATTTCTGCAAATAAACAATAAAGTCAATAAAAAAAAGAATACTTCCTATTAATAAAGGTACAAATATTAAGAGCAACTGAAGGTATAGCTACAAGAAAAAGTCAGCTCCTTTTTTTTTAATTTTCACTCTCATCGAAAAATAATTTTATTAATTAATATAAGAAGAACAGAAGGAGACTCATAAGAAACATAGTTGGGAAAGATTAGTAGGCTTACTGAACCAAAAAGTGTATCTTATACAAATTTCTTTTCATGGAAGCAAAAGTTATAAGAAAGCACTAATAACATCCTTGTATTAGGCATACATCGAATTATAAGTAAAAAAAAAAATATAAAATAGAGGCGCTTCACCCCACGCGGTATACTTTGTGCAAATTTTAATCAATAAGATCGACAGTCCTAAGACTGGTAGGACACGCACCTCCACTCTTTCCTGTCCTGAGCTAATATTCGCATTTCCCTAAAACTAGAACAACCCATATCCTTAAGTATTTGCGAACAGTAATCTAATCTAGGTTTACCTCTACCCCTCCTAACTTCCGTTTCTGCCCTAGACAAAAATTTTCAGTCTCCCAGAGTCTTTCAGCGTCTCTGAGAGCGTCTTTCACAGTCTCTCAGTTATTGCCTAGGTGTTTTTATGGATCTCTTACAGTCTCTGTATGAGAGACTCGAACGATAAAATTGTTAATTCAGAGATTCGAGTCTCTCACAGAGAGACTGAATGAATAAAACTGAAAAATTGAGAGACTGGAGTCTCTCGTAGAAAGACTGGGATCCCTGAAATATGTTGAACTTAGAAAATTTTAACCATGTCTATCGAGACACCACTTATTGAGAGATTCGAGTCTCTCGTTCAGAGATTCCAGTCTCTCGTTCAGAAACCCTAACAGTTTTTTTGACAGTCTCTCTCAGCGACGCCAGAGAGACTCGATGAGAGACGGAGACTCGAGTCTCGCTCTCAGAGACTCGGAGAGACTGAACATTTTTATCTCGGGTGCCTAATATGTTTCTGACTAGACCTTCATGCCTGAGAAGGTGTCCTACTGACCTACCTCAACTATTTTTAGACTTAGTATTCTCTGTTCTCCTATTCTTTCTAATATTGAACTAAATAAGATATTTTAAAATATTGTTATTTGTGTGATTGATAAGTATTTGAAGCAAAACTTTCAATTTTCGATCAAACCAAAATTTTCGATAATGTTGATTACCGATAGCGAAAAACAAAATCAGCACCAATGTGATGATGCGAATAAATAAATATATATAGAATGTTTTATCGTTGATTAAGTTTTTTATATAAACTATTGTCAACGGGGTGTACTAAGTACCACATGAAATAAGACACGTAGTTGTAGTGATTGTAGAAATAACTATATTTAATTTAACTTAAATTTAATCCACTTTAAACTAACTTTAAAACTACAAATACCGATTAATTAAAAATGATGATAAAAATCAATA